AAAGCTTCTGAATTAATAAAGGGATTAACAAACCAGATACAAAATATTCGCGAGACTATAGACATTGTTTTCGAAAAGGCAAAAAAGATTTGTGAACAATGTGGCATTGAAGACAATTTTCCTGAAAAGCGACGAAAGCGAGTAAAAAGACACGATTTAATTGAAAGTTCAGACTCCGGCTACGACATTACTCAGCAACAAAGTTTCAAAATTCAGATAAATGAAGCAATAGATACAATCATTTCTGAATTAAAATGGCGATTCGAAAAACTACGCGACATACATAACTCTTTCGGTTTTTTGACCTTAAAACACATTACTACATATTCGGTTGAAGAACTAAAAAATATGCAGCTGATTTGAGCATCAAATATTCTGCAGATATAAATGCGACAGAATTTTGGTCCGAAATAGAAACTTTGAAGAGTCAAGTTGAAGCGACTACATTATTTGATAATTGTGAATGTCAGTCAAGTATGGGTCTTCTCAAAGCTATAGTGGAACTGGATTTAAAGGAAATGTTTCCCAATATAGTAGTCGTTTTAAAGATATTTTTAACGATGCCAGTGACTGTAGCTTCTTGCGAGAGATCGTTCAGTAAGCTCAAATTAATAAAAACGTATCTGCGCTCGACGATGGGTCAAGAAAGATTGTCTGGCCTAGCAATTTTGTCGATTGAACGCGACATAGCACGGCTCCTGTCATATGAAAATGTAATAAAGGACTTCGCAATGAGAAAAGCGAGGAAAGTAAATCTTTAAGTAATCTTAAAGTAAGTACTCATTTCTGTATTTGAGCAACTATTTTTGAATAAACAATTTTTATCTTAAAGAAATATACTAAGTAGGTACTTACATACTTTGGTTAACAATAAATAGATAGATTTATTTGTATGCACATTTGTCAATTTTATTTTCAGAGCCTGGTTAGAGCATTTTTCAGGGGCGCAGTTTTGAAAGCTCGCACTGGGTGCATAAAAGGCTAGTTACGGCACTGATCATATCATTTTGTCACTAAATTACACTTACACATTGTTTTTAATTACGTCGGTGGAACTATTTTAATCAATATAATAATATTTATTATTAAAATTCGATAACGATAATTTAACAATATACTATCAAAACGTGAGGGGTTTACGCACAAAATCACATTCTTTTTTTAACGCTGTTCTAACTTGTAACTTCGATATTATATGTATCACTGAAACTTGGCTTAACAATAACTTTCACGACTCGGAATACTTTGATAGTAGATACGATTTGTTTAGATGTGATCGTAATATAGCTGTAAGCGAACATGAACGTGGTGGCGGAGTGCTGATAGCGGTGCGCCGCGACTTGTGCCCGCGGCACCGCGGCACCGCGGCGACATGCGTGCATCTTCGCCAGCTGAGGAAGTATGGGTGTCGGTGCCGCTGCGCTCGCGGCCGCCGTTGCTGCATCAAAACACGTTCCACAATACTTACACGTTATAACCACCTATATTGCTCATGGTAATAATCATAGCGCATTGCTCAAATCATTTTATGACAGAGCCAGTGATTTTATTAATCGTAGCTCTGAAGATATATTTTTGATACTCGGCGACTTCAATATTTCTAACGCACGATGGATTTACGATACAACCAGCGATTCTATGCAAATACAAACAAATAATGATAATTTAGCTTGTCTTACCGCCGATTTTATGGGAATATCTTTATTATCACAGTATAACAGCCAATTTAATCAAAACAGTAAGCTTTTGGATTTAATTTTTTGTAACGATTATTGTCAAGTATCACTTAGCAGCCACCCAATGGTGCCATGTGATCCTCACCACCCCCCACTAGAATTAGATTTAAAATTAATGATTAATGTAGCACTACAACCTTCAAATTGCATTAAAAAACAATTCTTTAAAGCCGATTTTGACTCCATTAGGGTGATGTAGATTCTATGACAAATTATTTTTATAATATTTTGAATAATTTAATAGAGAAATATGTGCCAAGTTACAATATAAAAACGAAGCATAAATATCCAGTTTGGTTTACTAAGCCCTTGATAAAATTAGAAAATGAAAAATGTAAATTTCACAGGAAATGGAAGCGTTTCGGTAACATATGTGATTATAATATATACTCAATGTTAAGGAGTCGGTTCAAAAGGATGTCGGCGGACTGTTATAAAAAATTTATTAAGTATTCCGAAGATAATATTAAAAAAGACCCGAAATCGTTTTGGTCATATGTTAAATCAAAAAAATCTAGAAATGATATCCCAGCCAAAATGGTTTATATGGGCAAAACAATTTCTTGTGGTAAAGAAATTTGTGAGTCATTTAATACATACTTTAATTCTGTATTTATTTCATCTACCGGTGATTCTTCTCAAGTCAATACACATAGAGATAGTTTTTCTACTCTTGACCTTAACTCGGTAAATATTAATCTTGATATTGTCTTAAAAGAGTTGAAAAATGTCAATGTGCACAAAGGGGCTGGTTTTGATAATATTCATCCTATTTTAATTTCTAAGTGTGCTATAGAACTGGCAAAGCCTGTCACATTGTTATTTCGTGCTTCTCTGGAGAATGGAGTTTTTCCAGAGAAATGGAAGTATTCTCTCATCACTCCCATTCCCAAAAATAATAAAAAGGATATTTTGACAGAATACAGGCCGATTTCTAAGCTTTGTGTTTTGGGTAAGATTCTTGAAAAAATAATAACTTCGCAAATCACAGTAGCTGTTCGTAATTTTATATCTCCCCAACAACATGGGTTTTTTAAGCATAGAAGTGTTGATACAAATTTGATCACATTCACTGATTACTTATTACAAGCAATGGAAGAAAATTCCCAGGTGGATGTCGTGTACACCGACTTTTCCAAAGCGTTTGATAAAATTAGCCATAATCTGCTTATTGATAAACTAATGAGGGCCGGTATACACGGCAACCTGCTGAGATGGATCGAATCTTATATTAAAAATAGATTTCAAGCAGTTTGTATCAAAGGTTATACATCACAATTCCTTCCTGTACCTTCAGGTGTACCGCAAGGTTCTCATTTAGGCCCTTTACTCTTTTCTTTGTATATTAATGACATCGGTGACGTTATCAAACATAGTCAGCACTTACTATATGCAGATGACGCAAAAATTTTTAAGGTAGTGAAATCTATGGATGATTGTAAGAAGTTGCAAGAAGATTTGGAAGCTCTGAGTAATTACTGTTCATCCAATCAATTGTTTTTAAATATAAATAAGTGTTCTATATTATCTTTTACCCGAAAAAAGAAACAGTACAACTTTCAATACACATTTGAAGGCAACAATATCAAGCGCGTCACTAAAATTAGAGACCTTGGTTTGATTATGGATTCGGAACTAACTTTTAATCCTCACATAGACCACATATTAAACTTAGCATTTCGTAGATTAGGATATATACTCAGAATATGTAAGCCTTTCAAAGAAATTATCACCCTTAAAATTTTATATTTTTCTTACGTCAGGTCTCTTCTAGATTTTTGCAGCATGGTTTGGAGCCCATGTTATCTAAAACATGTAAAAAGAATAGAAAGAGTGCAGGGTAAATTTATTAAATCTCTTAACTTTCGCAACAATGTAGCCGATGAATCATACAGTGAAGCTTTGGTTAGATATAAACTGCTTAGTCTTTCTAATCGTCGTAAAATGTTTGACATTATTTTTCTTTTCAAACTCTTAAACTCACAAATTGATTCGTCCATTCTTCTCAGCAAAATTTCCATTTTAGCACGAGTTCGTCTCCCGGTGCGCTCCTCACGTAAATTGCAATATTTTGTTCCTTCGCCGTTACGCAAAAACTATACACGTAATTCTTATATGTGTCGTTCCACCAACGTTTATAACAAAGAGTTCTCCGATTTGGATCTTTGTAATATATCTATCAATAGTTTAAAACAAAAACTAAATTATATATTGATGGAAAAACCAAAAAAAGAGTGTTTATGAAAATTTCTATTTGTGTTATAAGTTGTTAACTTTTAATGTCAATAAATTGTTAGCATTAGATGAATACACGTGCAAATCTGACTATGTTGAGACTCTATTTGCTGCTATAAATGTAATAAACTTTGGGCACTGTTTGGTCTATTAATATTAACATATATGCATGTACTTCAATATTATGTAAATGACTGTTTGTTGCCAAAATAAATGATAAAAAAAAAAAATATAGCACATAGCGACATCCCTTTCTAACTGTACTCAAGTAAAGATCAACACTTAGTTGTCATTCTGTAATACTAGCCTAAGACTGTGTTAGAGTTATTAGCGCCCATCTCAAAAGACAGGCACATTAAGACATGATTAGAAACAAACAAGCTATTTATAATACCTTACACTGTGTGTATGAGTGAGTGAGTGTATATGTGTGTGTGATAGAGAAATGTGTGTACATTATGCGTGTGCGCCCTTAAAACTAATCATCTGTTGCATCTTTTTAATAAAAGCTTTTATAAAGAACACAAATATTTGTTTCTTAAGTTTTCACGCACATCACTAGTTAAATAATCAGATCTGTATCGTCAGAATTCTGACGATGCAGACCTGAAAAGGCTGCGAAACGTCAAAAAATATATAAAGTTTCGTGCATTAACCCGCTAAAACTAGTTTTATTTAAGAACACAAATAGTTCAAAATCAAATAACAAATGCCACGTAAAACTGTAAAATCATTTTTCTCTCAATAATCACGGCTAGTCGTGAATGTTATTTTCGTAATCGCCATTTTGTTATCAAGAGAAGGACAACAATACAGCTCAGCCGTGCGGACTCGGAAGCGGACTCGACGTTTCGCTCGCACTGCGTTGAAGCGTACAGTTCTGTCTCGCTCGCTCGATTGAATGTTTATATACAGACGTGTGCGTGTGTGAGAGTTGCTTATGTAGTTGAGTCGGATCATATTTTATTTGATGCTAGTATGAGCGTACCGTATCTTTCCTTTTTGTTTTAATTTAAGATGTGGACTCACAACATATGCACCCTGAGGCCCGAGTTGTTGACGAAGGTACTGTCGCAGAGAGAGCATTGTTGCTTCTGCTTGTGTTTGTCACGATGATAGCGGTAGCTGCGGTGGGAACTATCGAAAAAAAAACAATATTAGTGGTCGAATCTAAAGAATATATTACTTGTCGTGGAACCCTTTTTTGAAGATGCAGGCAGCATAATTTAATTTGAATTTAGTTTGGCATGTTAGATAGATAGACAAAAAAATATTGTGTGTCATGTTTTTACCACTGAAGTAAGTTTTTATAAGTTTGTGTTTTTATAATATCTGTACGCTCTAATATATATTTATCCCTGAACTTACAAGCGTTTCCTTAACAAAATAAAGAAGTTCGGGGCAAGGCATAGCGCCGGTTAATATTTACGAACATTACTAGAAAAAATTCCACACGGACCAGGCAGCAGACGGGACTCGAACCCGCACCCTTCGCTATCCGAGCCAATGCACTGTTCAATTACCAGCCTAGACGTCTATGGGGACTTTTTTGCCCAAATCTAAAATGAAGTAAAACGAGGTTGGGTAGAGGAATACCCAAACGACCGTGCGTTCTAAAAGTTCTTCCTGCTTATGAAATACAATTTAAAATGGCTTGTCTTGACTTCTTAATAATTCTGTATTATATTCCCGACCTCTTTCAACTGTAGCAGCATTCGTATTCATCGACCAAATAAACAAAAAACCGTTGACATCTGTCGGCCAGTCTCGGCTTCGTGTCGTCTCAAGACGACGTACGTGAGTGAGGTGCGTTGTTTTTATTTTGTGTTAAATGAATTAAAAAGTGTTGTGTTTGCTTTATTTTGTGTTTTTATTCAACAAATAGTTCTATACGTAATTAATGGAATTCATTTTAAAAGGGGTAAGTCAATATTTTAGTATATATTTCGATAGTTTCCGTAAGCGTCATCTGGTCTGTTGTTTCATGTTGACTCATTTCGTCAATTGTTTTCAATAAATATTTTAATATTACTACTTAATACTTTTAATAGTACTTTTATAATACTTTTAGTGAGTACTTAATACTTTTAATGCCGATATCAATATTTCAGTCGTAAGTGCCAAGTTCATTGATAAATATTTTTTTTAAATTGAGCAATAAAAAATTTCATACTCTTTAACTTTTTATAGAACTTTGAAGACCCCAAAACATTTCTTTTTCTCCAAGACTATGTGTGTTTTTTATAAATATTGCTTAAGAATATGTTCATAATGCATTTAAAAGTCTAAAAGTTATAGGTTATCTCTTTAAATTTTGAAATACACGTATTTTAATGAAGCAATGTGTCAAAATTCACTCGCTTCCTACTTTAGTGCCGATTATTTATTACAAGAAACTATAAATCTTATCAGGACTTGGACAGAAACAAAGATTCATTCATTCCCTTTTAAAAAACACCATTGAACGCTCATTCCCGCTTATCTAGAGTCATAAATAACGTGTTTTTGTAAACAATACCCAACGCTAGCGCGTTGTAATTTTGTGTAATTTGAAGTGGCCGTTAGAGGGGCCCGCGGGGTGAGCGGTCTGGGCGCGTCACCGGTTACGCTACTGCGGCCTGTGGCCGTGTTGAATTCTTTCTAGCGTTTCTTAAGCTGCAAGGCAGCACCATCTCTTCGCATTGTAGGTCAACCACAATGTCAAATGAATACCTTTACAAGTATTAAACATTTGAATGAAGAAATAGCATGCGTTTCATGCTTAAAAAAATAAAATTATAACATAGGTGTCGATTATGGCATGATCCTCTGAACCTTAAATTAAATTTGACAACAGGGTATCCTTGTCATTCTGTATACAGATTAAAAAGGAGCGACTGATTAAATTTAGTTTAAAGTTTGGGGATTCATGCCAGAATCGACATCGTTGTATTGTTTTTTGCATTTAACTGCCGGATGTTTTAGTCTAAAGAAAATTTAACTAGAAAAAATTCTACGTGGACCACGCAGCAGATGGGGCTTTAGATTTAAACATCTAGCAGTTATGATTAAAAAATAAAAATATAAGTAGAAAAGAAGAGATGACGCTGCCTTGCAGTCTAAGATACACTACAAAATTCGACACGGCCATTTAGGTCGCGGTAGCATAATTTGGTCAGTGTATCCCCTGAGGAGCTCGATGGCGCAAGTGGTAAGGGCGTTCGGCTGCGATCGTTGAAGTTAAGCTACTTTCGCAGTGGTCGGTCATTGGATGGGTGACCAAAAATTAACTGTCTCTTACTCCTCTGTGCTTCGGAAGGCACGTGAAGCCGTTGATCCCGGCTGCATCTGCAGTCGTTAGCACCCACCAAACCGCTCTGGGCCCGCGTGGTGGGTCATGGCCAAACTCCCTATTCCATCCATAGGAAAAGCCTGTGCCCCAGCAGTCGATCGTTGAAGTTAAGCAACTTTCGCAGTGGTCGGTCGTTGGATGGGAGACCAAAAATTAACTGTCTCTTACTCCTCTGTGCTTCGGAAGGCACGTGAAGCCGTTGATCCCGGCTGCATCTGCAGTCGTTAGCACCCACCAAACCGCACTGGGCCCGCGTGGTGGGTCATGGCCAAACTCCCTATTCCATCCATAGGAAAAGCCTGTGCCCCAGCAGTGGGGACTTTAAAAGGCTGATGATGAAGCGTCTATAGGTTATGGTGGGCCATATGCCTGCTTGCCACTCTTTCAACATAAAAGAGATAACTTTAACAAGTAAGGGTCCATAAAAAAAACTTACTCGGTAATGAAGCCGCACTCCTGACACACGAACTGCGTGTCTATTGTGCCGTGCTGATCATTGTAGTGCTTGATCACAGAGTATATGCTGTTATTGCGTTTACCGCAAGCCTGACATTCATATCTGGAATAAAACATTTCTTAAAAACAACATGGAGAAAGTAATTACTCGCCTCCTCAAGAGATGGCGCTACCGGTGCTGGGGTCAATAAGTACGGAAGCCTACATCGCGCAAGGAAAATTCGGAGGGCAACACTCTATATATACAATGTCCGACCAACATCAGTCATCATCGTTAGCCCACCAATCCGCACTTGGCCCTGTGGCCCAGGGGACATTAATAGGCTGTTGACGACGATTAGTGACTTGGTCCGTCGAGCCGGACTTTTTATCAGCAGCCTATCAATGTATGTTTTTTCATCGCAGATAGTTTTAAAGTCAAATTTGGCTATTAAATCAGCTATTGAGGCATGATTCTATGGACAAAATTATATAGACCCGCAACCCGAGCGTTAATTGGTGATGTGGAGAAATACAAAACATAACAGAAATAACGACCTCCGTGGCCGGCAAAATATAACAAAATATAACAAAAATAACGACCTCCGTGGCCGGCAAAATATAACAAAAATAACTACCTCCGTGGCCGGCAAAATATAACAAAATATAACAAAAATAACGACCTCCGTGGCCGGGTGGTTTGTTGTTGTGTTGCCGGCGTACGCCGGGTTTCTTGGTGTCACGGACTCGAGAGGTCCGGTCCCGGGTTCGGTCTTACTAGATGACAAAAATAATGATAAAAATACCTTCTGGTGTGTCGTTTCGTGTGTTCCTTGTAAGAAATGTCAGTGCTAAGTATCGATTTACATATGTTGCATTCGTAACCACCTTGTTTCTGGAAATAACAATATTATATTGTTTTAAACTTTCATCATGACTGAGTATCGGAGACTCATAAAAAACAAGGTAACAATCCCGTTAATAGCTATAATAACAATATTTGTGGGCGATTTTTAAATGCCTCATTGTAAGTTCTTAAACCTAAAAAATGGACAAACGTTATTCATAACAATCTTGGTTGTAATGTTATCTAAACACTCGGAGCTAATCTTATAACATAAATAACAGCCATTCAGACGCCCGTTTAATCCTTATCGGGCCACTTGAAATCCAAGCTTTGTTTTTACTAACGCGATTTTGTTTACGCATCTGGCGCGCGGATTGTGAGAGCTGTAGTGTAAAATTAAATTGTGGGAGTATGGTATTTTATGATTTTATTTGGTAAGTCATAATAGAATGTGCAAATAACCAAAAAATCTGGACATGAAATTTTGAAAATATACTCCATTTTACCCATCTAAACGCCTTTTTTTATCTTTGCCGAGTTTACCGTAACGTAATTAAAATAGATTATAGACATGACGCATTGTTTATGCACTGTTTTATAGTAAATTTAGCGCGTTCGGCTGCGATCGCTGAAGTTAAGCAACTTTCGCAGTGGTCGGTCATTGGATGGGTGACAAAAAACCTTCTATCTCGAGACGTTAAGCTGTTGGTCCCGGCTGCATCTGCAGTCGTTAGCACCCGCCAATCTTATGGCCCCCGTGATGGATCATGGCCCAATCTCCCTATTCCATCCATAGGGAAGGCCTGTGCCCCAGCAGTGGGGACATTAATAGGGTAATGACGATGATGAAACATTGAGTAAAAAATTAAAACAAATTCTTACAGAACCGTGTCTCTTCTCCATGTGGTCTTTCAGGGTCAATTCATGATCGAATCCAGTGATACAACTCTCGCATTTGAAAGGCAGCTTCAAATAGTTCTGCTTCTTTGCTTCTCTTTCTCTCTCTTCCAACATCTCTTCTCTGCTCAACGTAATAATGGAGATCTTTCCTTCATACTTCTCCGCTAGAGGAGATCTCTTTTTGGGTTTTTTTAACTTGGTAGCGACCTCATTGCCTTTAACTTTTTTCTTTTTCTTCTTAACCTTTTTCATTTCCTTCTTAATCTGTGACAAAGGTACGTCAATTTCGAAATCCGAATAGCTTTCGTGTTCGATTTTGACCTCCGTGGTGAGGTCGTTGTAGTGATCCTGTTGTGCATTGTCACGTTTCTCGTTTTCATCATGTTCGTATTTGAAACTCGCATCGTCACCTTGTGTGTTCGAAATTTGGAGGTCTTGAAATTTCTTCGCGGGTTTGATGTTTTGCGCCTGTAAAAGAGAAAACATATTTATAAATTTTACTCGAACCCGCATCTTCAGCTATTCGGGCGGATGCACTGACCAATTATACTACCACGACCTTATAGTGGCTGTGTCGGATTTCTTATAGTATTTCTTTGACTGCAAGGCAGTGTGCTATTATTTATGTAATTACATAATATATTATTTTAATCTCTGTTGTTAGGAAACCTGTGCCACTCAAGGGCGGATCCAGCTTTGGCGCCAGGGGGCGGTCATATAGTCGTGGTCAAGTCACAGTGGGTACAGATTGTGAAGTGGGTGCAGATGGACCCAGCCCAGAGGGGGGAGGTCATGACCCCCATGACCCCCCCCTTTTGGATCCGCCCTTGGACTGCCACTGCCCTGATTTAAATACGGTCCTGAAAGAGAAATATACTTTAGCAAACTGCTGCCGCCACCCTATATTATACTTACCTTATATTTATCATCAAACAATCATTGATTCGTATTATTAGAATTAAAGCGTTATTATTGTAAGGACTTATATATGATAATATTCATACCTGCCCATTTAGTACCACGAGACTCTCTTCCACTTGCTGCCTGAATAATTCTATCTTTTTTAGGAAATGATGGCATTCGTGACATATCACCGAGTTTTGATATCCTACCTGTGAAATGGTAAAAAGTATCTAATTTGATTGTTGTAATATAACATGACCAAAGTTTGAAGCATGTTAAAACATGATGAGAATTCATATTTTTACGTAACTAGTAGATGTTCGCGACAGTTTTTGCGTACAATAATGGTTCCAATACCCAATTTCATTTCCTTTTTACCTTATTATTGTAAGAAAAGGAGCGTTGTTATGTCATCAGCATCACCAATATCCCAAGGCCCCTCTTATATCAAGACGGGGTTTTTTCAAAACCAGTTTAGCAGCTTTTGTCGCAAATAGAAACTTATGATAATGGATATTACAAAAACATTTTGTTTTCCTCAAAAGATATGGTGATTTTATTGTAAGTATCAAAGAAAAGGAAAATAATAAAAACTAATTTCTGTAAATATACATACTTATACCTATTTTATTTTAATTGATAATTATTAAAATATAACATGTGCATTATGCATTCGTATTGAAATAAAAACTAAATTTTCAGCAGTAGATTTAAACACAAAAGCCATACGTGAAATGCTTAGATAATTTATTTGTCTTTGATAAGATTAATTATTTTTATTTTCATCATCATCATCTTCAGCCTATTAATGTCCCCATTGCTGGGGCACAGGTCTTCCCTATGGATGGAATAGGGAGATTGGGCTATGACCCACCACACGGGCCCAGTGCGGATTGGCGGGTGCTAACGACTGCAGATGCAGCCGGAACCAACGGCTTAACGTGCCTTCCGAAGCATGGAGGAACTCGAGATAGTAAATTTTTGGTCACCCATCCAATGACCAACCACTGCGAAAGTTGCTTAACTTCAACGATCGCAGCCGAACGCGCTAACCACTTGCGCCATCGAGCTCCTCAAAATTACACAAAAATACATTAAATTGAGTAGGTACTTATATTTGCTATATTTTTGGGATTAAGTCGACAACAAGTTGGTCGCCATTTTAAAAGTTGCCTAGATGACTCCTATGATGCCATTTTAATATAGTATCACTATAATAAAAAAAATCTAATAACAGTTTAATAAAACATCAAGTAAATAATTTGTAAGGTAAATTAGTGAACGAAAAAGAAATACTCACTTTATATTTGTAGAAGAAATTGAAAAAATTTGCATGTTTACATCTCGATAAATTAATGAAAGCTACATTTTGTTGAAGGCAACTGATGCAAACACTCTGTGAAAAAGTAATCGTTTTATTATTTTGATCAAATGTTTGTAAGTACGAGGTGTTTATATTTACAAACTCGTTCATTTTATCGAAAAATGCAAAAAGAGTCCAATTCACTGCCGAGCAACTATATGTCAAAGAATTCCATTGTAGGTAATGATCGTTCACTTAGCGTAATGAAAATTGATAAATTACAGGCTGGAATATTTTTGAAGATGCGTGGAACGGAGTATTGAAGGTAGCGTTTTGTTAGGTAACATTTGCATTTAATAAAATCCTATTTGAGACTCAGAAATTAAAAAGTCTGCGTATATATTACAACTTTAATTGATGAATCATATATAAATGGTAATTAATAAAAACAACACATAATGCTACTCAACAAACTATAGTCTTTGGGAAACTAAATCACGGAGCTATCACAGTAATCACTAGAATCGAATCGAAACGCATTTGACATTAAAACAGATACAAATCTCGTAGAGCGTTTCAAATTATTAAGCGATTGAATTTGTTTTATTTTTATTACTGTGTATGTATGAACAATACAAAAAATCAATAATCAGAGTGTCTGTGCAGTGTCCCTAAATAAAATGGAGCAAAAAGCTGATGTTATGTGTTGCGGCTGTCTTTGCAGTGAACGCAAACTTAAACCACTCGACGATGATGCAAAAAGACAATGTTTTTTACAAATAATAAATGAAATACCGGTATGTTTCTTAGATTTATGGTAGTAAATACGTACCACTTTGATGCTAAATTAATTTCAGCTCAAGCACTTGAGTTTAACACTAGATTTCTTCAATAGAACTGATTGTTTCTAAGGTTTTATTTTATCGATAATATTTTTTTCAGATGACTGTACCAGATAATGATCTCTTAACTGCATGCTGGGAATGCGATGCCTTGATAAGTCGCTTCATAAAATTTAAGCGACAAGTGAAAACATGTTATAAAGCTCTCAATGAATACTCTAAACAGGTTTGTAGTCTTATGAATAAATAAAAATATCTTATGAATAAATAATAATTTTTTGCAACATGTTCTGTCCAATAGAGTTCACCATTTGTAAGGGAATTATAACAGCTGGGGGCCATTCACCTAATGGAAATGCTTTGGAAAACGCTAACGCTTATGATTTCATTTGTGTTATTTCTAGACACCAGAGGTTTTCAAATGCCTTACGCTCTTTTTTTTCTTTTACATTGGTAATAATAATATTAACAAAAATTAGTGTGAGGTATTTGAAAACCTTTGGCGGTCAGAAATAACAAAATAAAATTAAAAGTGTTAGCGTTTTCCAAAGCATTTCCATTAGGCGAATGGCCCCCTGGCCTGTGGTACTTTTCTGCCTGGTCCTTTTCTGCCACTCCTTATCAATAATAATTACTAAATCTCAAAACTGCATAAAAAATATTCTCAATGTTACTGACTGCCAATATCACATACCTAGTTCAAAACTTAAAATGCTAAGTGGGCCGATAGATGTGTCTGGGGGTATATTTAAATGGTACCTAAATGTATTATACTTTTGCTCAGATAGCTAAAGATGCAGGTTCATATCCAGTCTGAAACTGATCAGACAGAGTGGAAATTTTTCCAGTAAAATTTTCTTATATTTTAACATCTAGCAGTTAAATCCTTAAAATAAAAATAAGGTAATGTTTTATAAATGTTTGCAGAATACGAATTTGATGCAACAATCTCATTTTCCTAACCTGTCAATGCACATAGTTCTCGATCTTGATATAGACCCAAACATAAACAGCGGGGAACAAGTGACAATAGATGTGTACCACCCAAAACTCAAAGTGGAAAATTCTATCAAATCAGAGATTAAAGATGAGGACAATGAGTCTACACATTCCGACAACTTGGAAGATAATACTTTTCTAATAGAATTCAGTAGGAAGAAAAAGAGGAAAGTGAAAGAACGTAAAAGAAAAAAAGAGAAGAATGATGAAGTTGTAAGAGAAATAGAGTTGACAGTCGAAGAGTTAGCAGAAGAGAGAAGAACTTTAGCGGAAAGAGAGGACTATGTGATCGCTATGTTCCGGTGTGAGAATTGTATCGTGTCGTTTCCTAACATTGATGATCTCAACGACCATCAGAAGTTGAAACATGATGCTGTAAGTTTGAAAAGTTAGTTATTTATTTTTTGCCAAATATCAAATTTGTGTAACTGAACAACCTTTTTTTTATAAAACTGTGTGGCTATGTGAGGAGCTCGATGGCGCAATTGGTTAACGCGTTCGTCCTGCGATAGTGGAAGTTAAGCAATTTTTGCAATGGTATGTCTTAGAATGGGTGACCAAAAACTTATTATCACTCACTCCTCCGTGCTCCCGTAGGCACGTTAAGTTCCTGGCTGCATCTGCAGCCATCAGCCCAACCAACCTTCACTGGGCCCGAGTGGTGGGTCACTGATCATTGTCCCTATACCATCCGTCAGGAAGGTCTGTGCCCCAGCAGTGAGGAAATTAGATGATGATGTGTGGATCTGTGTTCTAAATCACTTATGTTTTTAATTGTTCTCAGAACAAGAGCAAGTTCAAATGCAACATTTGTGAGTGTACCTTTGCAACAGATGTGTCATATAACTACCACACGAACAGACATGTAAAACGGTTTCAATGTACAGTGTGTGATGTACTGTTTAACAGTAAGAGGGCTGCCACCAAACACTATGAAGTTACACATATGCTAATGAGGTAAGGATGAAGAATGAAATGTCTTGTGAAATATTATAGACTACTAACTGTCCCAGTGAACTTTGTACCTCCATAAAAAAATAGGGGTTGGTGGTAGAAAGGTGAAAATTTAGGGTTGTATGTATTTTTGTATGATGTATCATAATAATAAAAAACAAAAATTTACTCCCAAAAAACAAATTTAACCACCCTTAACCTTAACCTTTAGGGGGATGAAAAATAGATGTCCAATTCTCAGACCTACTGAATATGCATATATAAAATTCCGTGCCTAAAGAACTTTCAATTCAAAAATATATTAAAACCTCTGACTGATATTCATTTATTTATCTTATAGTTATCAACTGAATGGTGATACGTCGTATTGCGAAAATGGTGACTCCGAAACAAAAACATTGAAACAAGAATTCAATGAAAGGTAAGTTTAGCCATAAATTTCAACACTAATGTGTTAAAAATAAAGTTGAGAATCGATTGAATGAATGTTGTTAGTTTTGCAAGTACACTTCCATGATTCGAGACCTAAATTGAAATGGAATTATGGAAAGGAACTTTAAATTTATTGCTAGAGTAATATTTTCTATTAGATCGATATAAAGAACGTCTGATTCTAAGTATAGTTCTGTCTCGCTCGCTCAATTGAAATATTATAGGTGTGTGTTCATTATAGTTACGTATGAAGTTGAGTCAGATCATTTTTTATTTCAATTATGTAAGAGCGTACCGTATCTTTCTATTTTGACTTAATCTAAGATTAAATGGCATTTTTTTCTTGTCCTTAGTGCTGTATTAATTAACTTTTCAACACATTTGCTCAAAAAATGCATTTAAGAGGTTGTACCTATACATTGTACGAAAGTTCAATATTATGGGCAATACAATGGAGCGTACGGTAAAAATTTTACCGCACGCTCATACATGGCGCCGTGCTCGTTTCGATCGAACCTACTTGGAAGTTCTTTTAATCTATACTTTTGTCTCTCTTTAATAATTAAAAGAAAAAAAGAGACAAAAGATGTATTACTAATTTTCACCACCCGCAGGTGGCACCATTTGGAAATACACCCCATTTTATACTTAGAAAAAATTTGCTTCATTGCTTAAATACGACCTACACTGTTTTCTCGCAAATGTGTTGAAAAACGTTGTATGCCATCGCGCGGAATTGGTATTTACTAGAGATGGGCCGACTAGAGAATTTGCCGATCATTATAATATCTATCTAAGTAAGGTGTTCGGAATATTTCGTCACAACTCGGCTTGCTCACGCATGATAGGAGTCCCCCAAATCAAGCAGAAAAATTTACGTTCAAACATCACAATTTGCCTGTAAGGATTTTTTTTTACCTATGGACTTCTTTAAGACTCGCTAGCACTTAGGATTTTACTAAATTAATTCATACTTACTTCCCATTGCTATGTTCGATATGCATTATGTTAATTTATCTGAACAACAACACGAGGCGGCAAGTACAAAATATGATGCTGTTTAATTGTTGTAGTAATTAAAACTAAATTATTGTCTCGACTTGCTTATATTGTCCTTATTAATGTGTTTTTTAGAATATAATTATTGTGAGGTGGTGGCAGAATACCAGCGACAAGTCAAAACTTGACTGTCACATGCTGAGCCACATACCTTTTTGTTTCAATTATTTACTGTCATTCTATTTGTGTATTGTACCAATTGTATGTTGAAACAAATAAATAATTTATTATTATTATTATATCTTTTTATCATATCCCGTTTCTGTGGTCATGCTAGAGGGGCTGGTAAGCCTTGGACTTCGTCTCGGACTTACATTATTACGTTTATTCGTTTGTAATAACCAACTTATCGCAGTGATATCATAAATAACTATTTCATTCCACCAGCACGAAACAGGAGGCGGTCAGCACCGCTACATTTCCGTGTGAATTCTGCAACAAGACATTCAGATGGAAGACTTCGAAACTACTAGACTAGAAATTGTTAAACTATCGATAGTACGGTTGCAAATAAAATCGACAGTATCGATACTATCGATAATTTGTTATTAACGAACTACAATACTATCGATAGTATCCATAGTATTTCACTCATCCGATAGTATTCGCTTGTTCTGTGTTATCGATAGTATCGATACTGTAAATAGTATCGCCGATCGATTGTCATACTATTGGTTGGCTATCGATAGACTATCGATCAATCATCGATAGTCGACTATCGATCGGCAACACTAGGCGCTGCGCTCGCAACGTATGGAAACCTAAATAACTAATTTCATTCCACCAGCCCAAAACAGGAGGCGGTCAGCACCGCTACATTCCCGTGTGAATTCTGCAACAAGACGTTCAGGTGGAAGACTTCTTTGAGAAAACATTCGGAGACGCATCGCATTGAGACTGGACAGAAGAGGAAACCTTATTGTGAACCATGCAGGTGGGTTATCGTCAGCTTATTAATGTCCATTATGTGGCGGCGACATCTACATGCCCCACATAATCAACATGGAGGAAATAGTAACTCGCCTCCTCAAGAGATGGCGCTACCGGCGCTGCCGTTGCCGAATTATCGATATTACAACTATCGACAGTTTACATCGAAAATGATGTGCGCTATCGATAGGCCTATCGATACAATCGATAGTATCGAAACTATCGGTAGCTCAGAACAAGGCAATACTATCGAATGAGTGCAATACTATCGATGTAGTTCGTTAATAACAAACTATTGATAGTATCGATACTATCGATACTGTTGATTTTATCTACAACAATACTATCGACTTGGTTTAACGACCTCCTTGGCCGAGTGGTTTGTACGCCGGGTTTCATGATGTCGCCGACTCGAGAAGTCCCGGGTTCGAATCTCGGTGGGGGCAGATGTTTGTGTGATGAATTCGAGCATTTGTACTCCAGTCATGGATGTTCAATATGTATTTCTACATATATAAATATACTTATATATGTACAGTATATGTATTCTATGCGTTACCTTGGCATCCCATAACACAAGCCTTACAGTGCTTACTTTGGGGCTAGGCTAGTTTTTTATTACCGAACTACAATACTATCGATAGTATTTCACTCATCCGATAGTATTGGCTTGTTTTGTGCTATCGATACTATCGATAAGCCGAGCGATCGTCATACAATTGGTTGGCTATCCTTGGCCTTTGAGCTGCCATCACCCAGCTTGGGGGATTGGCGGATGCTAACGACTGCTTAACGCGCCTTCCGAAGCACGGAGGAACTCGAGATAGAAGCTTTTTGGTCACCCATCCATTTTCCGACCACTGCTAAAGTTGCTTAATTTCAACGATCGCAGCCGATCGCGTTAACCACCTGCGCTATCGAGCTCCTCATCTAATAATAATAATCATAATTTTGTATTTTTATTTTCAATCCCTGCCCTCCATCCCGCGAAATTAAAAACGCCCCTTCGTATGTGTGTTACAATCAAAACGATATTTTACACCGTTTTTTTATATCGTTGGTTACAATAAATAACACATTTTTAGTTATATTTTTTATGCATGTAACTGCTTGATGTTTAAATCTAAAGAAAATATAACAAGAAAAAATTGCTATTTCTTCTTTCAAATGTTTCATACTTGTAAAAGTATTCATTTGACATTGTGGGTTACCTACAATGCGAAGAGATGGCGCTGCCTTGCAGCTTCAGAATGGCTAGAAGAATTTCGACGCGGCCGTCAGGGCCGCGGTAGCATAATTGGTCAGTGCATTCGCGCGGATAGCGAAGGGTGTGGGTTCGAGTCCCGTCTGCTGCTTAGTCAGCGTGGATTTTTTCTAGATATATTTTCTTTAGATTTAAACACATTTTTAGTTAAAAGTTATTTTTTTTATCTTTTACAGGTTATCTTTTACAACCACTTCCAATCTACAGAAGCATGTTAAGACAAGTTCAAAACATCAGATTCAACTGAAACTTTGGTGAGTCATTTTTTTTATGATTTCAGTCTTAATCTTTAGCATAATACATTTTGTTGGTGTACACAAATTATTAGATTGTTTAAATCTAAAGAAAAGTTTACTAGAAACAAAATCACGCGGACCAGGCAGCGGACGGGACTCGAACCCGCACCCTTCGCAATCCGGGCGAATGCACTGACCATTATGCTACCACGGCCCTATTCGCCGCGTCGAAATTTTCCTAGCCTTAAGCTGCAAGGCAGCGCCATCTCTTCGCATTGTAGGTAACCCACACTGTCAAATGAATACTTTTTCAAGTATTAAACATTTGAATGAAGAAATAGCAATTATAGTTATGTTTTTATTTTATTTTTAAGCATTTAACTGCTAGATGTTTAAATCTAAAGAAAAGTTTACTAGAAAAAAATTATTAGATTCACCTTCAATTAAAATGTTTGAAAAATAAAATCGTGTGCACGGAGCACACATCTGAAGTGAAACTGGTTTTCTTAAATAACCTAACATCAGGCGGTGAATAAGGCGTAGGGGAATGGAGCAGCGTACGCATCACTCATTTTTTTGAAGTGAAACTTCTTTATCGGCGTTGGAAAAAAATTTACCGTCACATTTTATTCGGTTACGCGTCACGTTTTTTGGTTACGCGCCATCTTTTTTTAAAAGAGCACTATTTACCTCATCCGAACATTTTCTTCTTATGTCAACTTAAAAAAAAAAAGTATCGACAGCAAATATTCGTGTTTCACACAAGGTAAGGTAAGGTAAGGTGTAGTTATACCCCTTTAGTGGGTGAGTTTTTGAAAAATCTTAGCGCACGCCTATATATATATTTCTGGAAAGTTGCATGTAGATCATTTTTCGAAAAAAATAAGGCCATAAAGAAGTTTCACTTCTTACGTGTGTACACTAGTACACGCACACATTTTATTAAATTTATTTAAAGAACCACTAACAAGTTTACAATCATATTTGCTTATATATATATATATAATCTAAAGAGTTATTGGTTATTGCAACCCCAACATTGATGGTTTCATTTTAATTTTACATTGTTTTTTCATTACAGTGACAACAATTTAATATAATATGTTTTACATATAGTTTATGCATAAAGCGACTTATTTTACTAATGGTTAATGGATAGGCTAGACTCATATATGTATATACAGGCTGTTACAGAATTCCGAAATAAAATTTGTAGGTATGTATTCCGAAATAAAAAATTGTAGGTATCTGAGCGGGGCGCAGGGGCGCCTGGAGGTGAGAGGGGGGTCTGTTTAGGTAGTAGTAATCGTACTCATTTATAGGGTTATCATAGGCAGATGTAAAACGATATTTTTATTAATTTAATTAGAAAATAAAAGTGGTCTGAAAGGCGTCAAACTTTCGTAGGTAATTCTATACAAGGAACACAACCAAACCCTAAAGTTTTATTTCGGACTTTTGTCACATCCTGTATATATTGTGTCGTATGTGACGCTCGTAGCGTTTTAGCCTTCGCAGAATTACCCTGCAAGTTTCATGCTCATCGGGAATAGCAGCGCACGCATCCCACACACGCACAATATAAAGAGAATATTTTTATTTTTTTAGCATTTAACTACTACATGTTTAAATCTAAAGAAAATTTTACTAGAAAAAAAAAATCCACGCGGTCCAGACAGCAGACGGGACTCGTACCCGCACCCTTCGCTATCCGGGCGAATGAACTGACCATTATGTTACAATGGAATTTTTTCTAGTAAAAATTTCTTAAGAGATTTTTTCCCAATCATCAAAAGTTGAATTTCTTCAATCATCTTTCTTGTGAAAAATAGGTTACAGTTCATTGTCCACGGGCATTGTATTAAAGGTCAGCCATATTCTGGTTTATCATATTGTTTTATGAGGAGGATTGTGTGCTAATATTAGATGGTACAGAGCTGGAGTGTAGTAAAATATGAAACAAAAGTTAAAATATATGTGTAAACAGGAAAGTATATTGTTATGAAGTATGACAAAATTTTAAATCAAATACTTACAAAGTACCAAAGTCAACTTCACTTCATAGTATAAAGCAAAGTCGCTTCCCGCTGTCTGTCCCTATGTCCCTATATCCTTATGTATGCTTAGATCTTTAAAACTATGCAACGGATTTTGATGCAGTTTCTTTTAATAGATAGAGTGATTCAAGAGAAAAGTTTATATGTATAAAACATGCATAATATAGTAGAGAAACACTGATAATTTTAGAGGTTTTTAATGTAAGGTCGTAAATAAACACATTTTTTTTGCTTACATTGCAAACGCTGGCTGAATCCTACGAGATAGATCAAAATAATGTACTACAGTATTGTACACCTTAAAAAGGTCTACGAAAAAGACCGCGATGGTACATGACTATCTCTTAGGGATAACCCACAATAACCATTTTTTAATTACATATTACTAGAAAATAATGGCTTATTTACGAAAAAGCGATTTTAAGCAATACAGCATTAATCCTTATCCAATTAAGTAAATACATTGTGCATGTAATATAGATCAATATGGCCCTTTACAGCATGTAATTTAAATGAATATTTTCGGAGATATAACAGATTTAAAATGCAGGAACATACCGGTTCGGGCGTTACTGGTCGGGGGACCGGCGGCGGCGCGTGCCTGTAGTAATTAGGTATTTAAAGAAAGTCATTGTGTTTAATAGAAGCCTGAGAATAAAAACTATAGTCTAAAGTTTAGACTAAGAAATATAACAATTCTATAGGGCGTCATTGTGTAAATAAGATTGGGAAGTCAAAACTACAGCTCTACACCGAAGCGAAGCGAGGGCGGGCCATTAGTTAAGTATAAAATTAAGATTGTAGCAACTAGTATTACAACAGATTGTTATCATTTTGTAAGGAAACTGAAGGAGTCCCACTTGGACGTGGTTAATTCCGTGGAACAAATAGCTCGGTCTGTGAACAACGCGCGCAGACAGTTCCCGTGCTCGCACTGCGGACGCAGCTTCCAGTGGAGGGGGAATCTGCGGAGACATCTCAGGAGTCATCGGGCTAGGTAACATAAATATATGAATAACACAAACAATACACACACAGAGCAACACACAAATAATATCATCATCAGCCTATTAATGTCCCCACTGCGGGTCACTGGGCCGTGACCCACCACGCGGGTCCAGTGCGGATTGGTGGGTGCTAACGACTGCTGATGCAGTAGGGGCCAACGGCTTAACGTACAGGCCGTACAAAATATTACACAGACACAGATGAAAATACACTTATAAAAACATACAGGCTGTACAAAACATTACACAGACACAGATGAAAATACACTTATAAAAACATACAGGCTGTACAAAACATTACACAGACACAGATGAAAATACACTTATAAAAACATACAGGCTGTACAAAACATTACACAGACACAGATGAAAATACACTTATAAAAACATACAGGCTGTACAAAACATTACACAAACACATGAAAATACACTTATCAAAACATACAGGCTGTACAAAACATAACACAGACGCAGATGAAAATACACTTATAAAAACATACAGGCTGTACAAAACATTACACAGACACAGATGAAAATACACTTATAAAAACATACAGGCTGTACAAAACATTACACAGACACAGATGAAAATACACTTATAAAAACATACAGGCTGTACAAAACATTACACAAACACATGAAAATACACTTATAAAAACATACAGGCTGTACAAAACATTACACAAACACATGAAAATACACTTATAAAAACATACAGGCTGTACAAAACATTACACAGACGCAGATGAAAATACACTTATAAAAACATACAGGCTGTACAAAACAATACATAGCCTCGAGATAAACCCAGGTACCCATTAACTGTTGTACCCTGATAACTTACAGGTATAAGAAACTATTTTCAATAGATTTATGTTGCTATATGAAGTAAAAAAATAATATGTTCATTGACATAGTAAATAATAAGACACAGAGTCTTCCGTTTAATTATATGACAATAATGATTTCTCAATGTTGATAACTAATCTGGATAGGTCTGTGACACCCAGCTTTTAAATGCTACAGCAGAGCAATATGCTGCCTGGTGAGGCATTCCTATTTACTTTAAAAATTTACCTTATTATATCTGCAGAGAGCCATTTCGATATATGAGAAACTTAAAGACTAAAGAAAAAAATAACCTGGAGAGTGAGTAGCGTAGAGCCAAGAAGCTTAGAGTACTTTTTTTACGTTGGGCGCCAAAACTGTAACGTTACACTCCCCTGATTGAGCTTGGAGATTTTTTGACGTGACAACGTCTTAAATTAGGTTGCGGCTGGGAGTCACTTATGAAAAAGTGTAACGCTCGGTAACGTTACGATGAGTTTAAGTTTACATGTACAATGTTTTAGTAAACAAAATATATTTCTATAGTTAAAATTTGTGCAATTCTTATTTTCATTCAATTCCTTGTTCCTATTGTGCAATTTAATTATATTCATATCAATAAATATTCTACCGAGAAAAAGACGTTGTCACGTAAAATCTTCGCCCGTAAAACCGACTTTACAGGCAACCATTTTTTTTTTTGAGTGTGTATGCTGTTGGTCGCAGATGACCTTTACAGCGTCACCGGGCTTGGGGACGGCGAGATCCTAAGGGGACCTCAAGCCGAGAATTGGCGAGTGCCTCTAGAGGTATTCCAGGCGGATGGCGTCTCCCCACGGGGGGAGTCTCCACTCCGTCTGGAGCCTCCAGACCACTCGAACCTGAGGGGGAAGTTTGGAGAGCGTAGCGCCAGCTTAAGAGAAAGAATAGAAATGTAATAATTTGGAAGAAAAGAATAAGAATGTATAGACTACTAAAAGAAAGATAGAAATAGAGTAAATAACACGGTAATTTATTTTGTACAAGACCTAATACAATAGAGAGAGATAGAGAAACTTAAAAATTAAAAGTCAATCGAACTCGCAAAATAACGTACGCGCACTCGCGAAAAAAAAAGAAAAAGAAAAAAAAAGAGGAGCTCGATGGCGCAAGTGGTTAGCGCGTTCGGCTGCGATCGTTGAACTTAAGCAACTTTCGCAGTGGTCGGTCATTGGATGGGTGACCAAAAATTACGATCTCGAGCTCCTCCGTGCTTCGGAAGGCACGTTCAGCCGTTGGTCCCGGCTGCATCTACAGTCGTTAGCACCCACCAATCCGCACTGGGCCCGCGTGGTGGGTCATGGCCCCATCTCCCTATTCCATCCATGGGGAAGGCCTGTGCCCCAGCAGTGGGGACATTAATAGGCTGATGATGATGATGATGACTCGCGAAAACGCACTTGGGAATAGGGCTAGCCCGCACACACACACGTCAGGCGGTCGGTTCCAATAATAACCATCCTTACTGAGGCTGTGACAATGTGTCAACTTACTCTCTAAATCTAGGCCAAATTTATTTATAGTTTGTTATTTAGAACCTTAGATTAAAACAAAAAGGGAAGGTACGGTACGCTCATACTAGCATCAAATTAAATATGATCCGACTCAAATACATAAGCAACTCGCACACAAACACGAGCGAGCGAGCTAGAACTGTACCCCTAGCACGAACCATTATCGAATTCGTATCGTTTGCGAGTCCGAAATGCCATTGTCAAATGTGTACTGATTTTTAGTTCTCGTTACGTACTTTGTGCCGCTGCTGTTCAAGTTTCCATACAAAATTTGACATTGACATTTCGGTTTGCAAACTATTCGAATTCGATAATGGTTCGTGCTAGGGGTACTGTACCCTTAGCACGAACCAATATCGAATTCGAATAGTTTGCGAGTGCGAAATGTCAATGTCAAATGTGTACTGATTTTTAGTTCTCGTTACATACTTTGTGGCACTGCTGTTCAAGTTTCCATACAAAATTTGACAATGACATTTCGTATTCGCAAACGATACGAAATCGATATTGGTTCGTGCTAAGGGCGTACGCTTCAACGCAGAACGAGCGAAACGGCGAATCAGCTTCCGAGTGCGAACGGCTGAGCTGTATTGTTGTCCTTTTCTTGATAACAAAATGGCGATTACGTAAATAACATTCACGACAAACCGTGATTTTTGAGAAAAAAATGATTTTACAGTTTTACGAATTGAAAGTGTTGCCGAGGCATTTGTTATTTGATTTTGAAGTAATTGTGTTCTTTATAAAAGCATCGAAGGCATTGTTTTATCTTTATAACACAGAATATACGCAATATTGTTTATGTTGAGTGTACATACAGCGTGTTTGAGTGTCCAATGAGGGCTATCGCGTATGAATCCGCCGCTAGAGGCGCTAGTGTAGCGTGAGGTCTCCGAAATGTCAAATTTTATTGCTTGTTGGTTGATTACGCGGGTTTATTTCTAATTAAAATAATGTTGTGAATAATTGGTAACAATTCGGCTTAATTATGGCAAATATGAGTTATGTGGCAATGAATGTCAGTTATTAAAAATTTGAGCTTAGAAAAATGATTATGTTCCCATTTTTTTCGAATAAAACGGAACTGCGCGTCACTGTGGCATGGCCTATTTATGTTTAGAATATGGTTCTTTTGTGTTAAAATACGATCTAAATGTAACCTTTGATTTCATGTGCGTATTAATAAACTTTAAAAGTTACAATTTAGGACCTCACTCAACAGTGGCGCCATCTGGTGAGGCAGAAAACGGTAGCCCTCATTGTGACTACAGCGAATTGTGGTCATGCACCACAACTTAAGCGGAACACTTTTGAGTCGCCAGTGCCGAATCTACCCTTTTTATTTTAATCTAAGTTTAGAAACCTAGCTTAAATTATTATTATTTAAGCATGTAACTGCTTGATGTTTAATTCTAAAGAAAATATAACTAGAAAAAATTCCTTGGGACCAGACAGCAGACGGGACTTGAACCCGCACCCTTCGCTATCCGGGCGAATGCACTAACCAATTATGCTACCGCGGCCCTGATGGCCGCGTCGAAATTCTTCTAGCCATTCTTAAGCTGCAAGTCTTAAGTCCGTCTGCTGTCTGTTTTTCTAGTTATATTTTCTCTAACTTAAATTATTAAAAAATTGTCATTCAACGAACAGAGACCTAGAAAAAACATGAAATAACTTATCCAAGCTTATTCTTTGTTTAATAAAGGACCATCATTCCAGTCAAGGTGTCCAAATATGCTGTTTTATTTACCAACAGAGCTAACGGCGAGCTGGTGTGTGAGCCGTGCAACAGAACTTTCTCTTCCATAGCCACGTACAAACAGCACATGAAGATCAGCAAGAAACACGTCTCTGAGAGCGACTTTAAGTGAGTAGACAGTTTCATGTACATAGGATACATTGTTCTATAACGTTATGTTTTCCTAAAGAGCAAAATCAAATAGGTTTTGAATCAATTTAGCGGTTTTTAAAGGGTTTCACTTCGCTCTTTCTGACGGCCTCGATAATAAATGAATAACTTGACTCACTAGACGCTAGCAAACGTATCAATAAATGCATCAATCTCTGAGCATTAACAGTTAACAGCATTTTTGTGTATGACATTATAATACTATTGAGTTGACCTTTGATTTTTAATTATTTTATTTGATGAAAATTATTAAATTCAAATTATGTAATGTATTAAATTAAATAACTGATTAGGTGTATTTTTTTTTTTTTTTTTTTAGTGACCTGTGCCTATTTCTATAATAATTGATTATGTATTGTTATTATGATTATGAGTTATGTTGCTCGAAATAAATGAATTTTATTTTATTTTTTATTAACAAGTTGCGACTTGATTACTTCAAACAAAACAAACTTCAAGCGATACCGACGCGTGCACGTGTCGCCCTGGATTAAACCGGTTTATTAAGGTTTTAGGTACCGCTTTTATTTCGGACGCGCTCCGAATGAAACCTTTACTAAAAACCGGTATAACCTTTATTTACCGGTATTTTCGAAACCGGTTTCAAGCCCTGTCATCATCATCAGCCTATTAATGTCATTATTATGTATTAATTTTATTTAGTGTTATTTTATTATATGTTTACGTATGTGTATATTTATTATATGTATACGTATATGTATATATATGTATGCATATGTATATAATTATTGTGTAATTTAATTAATATATATTATTATAATATTTATGTTGACTGCTTGAAATGTGATTTCCACCTCACATGTGCGCCCTACTAACTAATAATACTAATTTTCTCCACAACACCCTATGGTTGACTGGTACAGAATGCCTACGGCATTATGTCCGCCATTGTACAATTGTGCATTAAGAATTAATTAAAAAAAAAAATAATGTCCCCACTTCCCACACACAACTTTATGCGTACCAAATTTCATTAAAATCCGTTTAGTAATTTTTGCGTGATTGTGTAACAACACAAACTTTCACATATTTATGCAATGTGAATATTTAATGACAAAGGATTATTATGGATAGTATAGAAATACTAGCTGTCCCAGCGAACTTCGTACCGTCATAAACAAATAGGGGTTGGTGGTAGAAGGGTGAAAATTTAGGGTTATATGTTTTTACTAATGCTGTATCATAAAAGAATTAAAAAAAATATATATCTAAAATTGAAAAAAAAAAAATTAGGGGTGGATTACCCTTAACATTTAGGGGGGTGAAAAATAGATGTTGTCCGATTCTCAGACCTATCCAATATGCACACAAAATTTCATGAGAATCGGGAAAGCCGTTTCGGAGGAGTTTAACCACAAACACCGCGACACGAGAATTATATATATTAGATTAATAATAATGTAATAAATTATCATCATCCCAAAGGTACATGTGCAGTGATTGCGGCAAACGTTTCGCGAATAAAACTCGCCTCAAGGACCACGTGGACTGGGAGCATCTCAAGAACTTCGTACACACCTGCAGCACATGCCAGAAGGTTAGTGTAAACCATAGAGCGTAGACTGGGCCTGAGATAATGAATAAATATTTCCAACACTCGCACCAATTAGCCTAGCCCCAAAGTAAGCACTGTAATGCTTGTGTTATGGGATGCTAGGGTAACGGATAGAAAACATATTATACTGATTGACTGATTGATTGACGACCTCCGTGGTCGAGTGGTTCGTACGCCGGGTTTCATGGTGTCGCCGACTCGAGAGGTCCCGGGTTCCAATCCCGGTGGGGGCAGATGTTTGTGTGATGAATACGAGCATTTGTACATCAGTCATGGATGTTTAATATGTATTTCTATATAAATATACTTATATATGTACAGTATATGTATTCTATCCGTTACCCTAGCATCCCATAACACAAGCCTTATAGTGCTTACTTTGGGGCTAGGGTGTGAGTGTTGGTAATATTTATTATTATAACTGATATATATAAATAGAAATACATATTTATCATCTATGACTGGGGTACAAAGGCTCGTATTCATCACACAAATATCTGCCCTCACCGGGACTTGAACCCGGGACCTTTCGAGTAGGCGACGGAGGTAGTGAGATATCTACCATTAGAAACATCTAGAATATGTTTCATGAATGATTTTTTATAATAATTTCAAATGTTACTTGTAATTTATAAATAAAATTAATATGAAAAGTGATTAATCTGGTAAAATATATAAGATTGTAATAACCATGTCTACATTTGTAAATTTGCCGTGCTCTTGCTCTTGTATGTGACTTAACCATACTTATCGGGTAGCACATCTGATCCCACAAACTTTAGACCCATATCCGTGCTGTTCCAATCATTCCAACGGGTATTTCTATGATATATAATATGAATCATGTATTGAATTATTACTTACTGACCTACTACTTAAGACATACAGACAAAAAGTTATCCTTATGCCATCTATTCACATTATTCTATTCACATAGCTTCATAAACATCGCTGTCATTAATACCTTACTTTAAAATTAGACACATACCCAGTATACAAAAAAATGTGCAAACACCTCAATATTGTACGTTATTCAACGTTGAACTAAGTATTAATCTCTTATCTATTAGATAAGTCCGTCTGTCTGTGGTGCTGTTTCAGCGGCCAAACCGTAAGAGATAGATAAAGAGAATATTTAAGTTATAAGTTAAGAATAGTCTGATAAGACTACAAACCGGATTTGAGTAACGTAGCACTTCCGGTTTTCGAGAAATCAGGTTTTGGTGAACATTTGGTTCACTGGTTTGCTAGTATGTCAGTATTCAATTAAGCATTCGTATATCTCTCCTGTGTTTAATAAAAGTATTAATGACTTAACATTTTCCTCAGGTATTCAAGAGTCACACGTCCCTATATCTACACAAGCAGGTTGTCCACAAGAAGGACAACGCGGAGCATTTGTGCGATCATTGCGGCAAACATTTCCCGGTAAGTTTATCCAAATTTATTTACTAATTATAAAGGATAGACTGTCCCAAAATCAACGCAAGATTTGAATGAATTAGAAAGTACTAGCAAACCTGTGAACCAAATGTTCACCAAACCTGATTTAAAAAAATGGGTGCGTGTACTTATGTAGGCGCGTGAGAAGTTATCCTTCTTTCGCATCGTTTAAAATTAGTTTTTAATTGCATGCAAATAATTAATTACAATAAATTAATAAAAAGTCTGGAAAAGGACACAGTCAATAAAGTTCAGTTTTAATTTGAAAAAATAAATAAATAATCAAAATATTCCATTAAAATCGCTACTGAATATAATTTATTAGAACATAATGTGATTTGCACTTGTGCTAGAAACATGTGGATAAATATTATAAATATGAATACCTATAACTGTTACTTTATTACAAAAAATAAAGATGTGGTTTTTGGTTCTACTACACCAATGGTCAAGAGATGGCGCTGTAGTCTCCTGAATCGCGCTTTGGTTCCGTTGTTCCAGATTAATAAATACTTTTGATAGGCCTTCACAATGCAGTCGTTAGCACCCACTATATAGAGATTCTATTTCTATTTTGTTGGTAGATTTTCTTAATGTGCGGTAAACACAAAAGTAACAGCATGAAGTTGGTCGCTTTAGCTTTAGCTGTTAAAATTTTGTGTTACAGTGATGCGCGCGCATCTTAAAATTTCACTCTCATCAGTTTTTCATAACGCGCCTAAAGAAGTATAACTTCAAAGAAAATATATTTAATTAATTGAGAACTTCGGAGATTTTGTGTGGTTTCGTTTGAAATTCGCGATTTCTCGAAAACCGGAAGGGCTACGTTACTCAAATCCGGTTTGTAGTCTTATCAGACTATTCTTAACTTATAACTTAAACATTCTCTTTATCTATCTCTTACGGTTTGGCCGCTGAAACAGCACCACAGACAGACGGACGGACGGACGGACTTGTCTAATAGATAAGAGATAGTCCCTAATATTTTCATTGTTATTTTGTTATTGAAACATAAAATGTTTGGGATATGGGTTTTTGACGACCTCCGTGGCCGAGTGATTTGTACGCCGGGTTTCATGGTGTCGCCGACTCGAGAGGTCCCGGGTTCGAATCCCGGTGGTGGCAGATGTTTGTGTGATGAATACGAGCATTTGTACTCCAGTCATGGATGTTTAATATGTATTTCTGTATAAATATGCTTATATATGTACAGTATATGTATTCTATCCGTTACCCTAGTATCCCATAACACAAGCCTTACAGTGCTTACTTTGGGGCTAGGCTAATTGGTGTGAGTGTTAGAAATATTTATTATTTATTGAAGTTATACTTCTTTAGGCGCGTTATGAAAAACTGATGAGAGTGAAATTTTAAGATGCGCGCGCATCACTGTAACACAAAATTTTAACAGCTAAAGCTAAAGCGACCAACTTCATGCTGTTACTTTTGTGTTTACCGCACATTAAGAAAATCTACCAACAAAATAGAATCTCTATTTAGTGGGTGCTAACGACTGCATTGTGAAGGCCTATCAAAAGTATTTATTAATCTGGAACAACGGAACCAAAGCGCGATTCAGGAGACTACAGCGCCATCTCTTGACCATTGGTGTAGTAGAACCAAAAACCACATCTTTATTTTTTGTATTAAAGTAACAGTTATAGGTATTCATATTTATAATATTTATCCACATGTTTCTAGTTTGTATATTCGGAATACGTGTTTGAGTTTCATACAAGTGCAAATCACATATGTTCTAATAAATTATATTCAGTAGCGATTTTAATTGAATATTTTGATTATTTATTTATTTTTTCAAATTAAAACTGAACTTTATTGACTGTGTCCTTTTCCAGACTTTTTATTAATTTATTGTAATTAATTATTTGCATGCAATTAAAAACTAATTTTAAACGATGCCAAAGAAGGATAACTTCTCACGCGCCTACATAAGTACACGCACCCATTTTTTTATTATTATATGAAATTACTTGAGATTATAAATATCACAACGGGTCTGACCAGTTTGTACTTTTAAATTAACGTTGCTAACTGTACCCCTAGCACGAACCATTATCGAATTCGTATCGTTTGCGAGTCCGAATTGTCATTGTCAAATGTGTACTGATTTTTAGTTCTCGTTACGTACTTTGTGCCGCTGCTGTTCAAGTTTCCATACAAAATTTGACATTGACATTTCGGTTTGCAAACTATTCGAATTAGATAATGGTTCGTGCTAGGGGTACTGACCGCAGTTGAAGAACAGTACCCTTAGCACGAAACAATATCGAATTCGAATAGTTTGCGAGTGTGAACTGTCAATGTCAAATTTTGTATTGAAACTTTAAAAGCAGCGCCATAACGGACGTAACGAGAACTAAAAATCAGTACACATTTGACAATGACATTTCGTACTCGCAAACGATACGAATTCGATATTGGTTCGTGCTAAGGGTCCAGTGCCCTAACACGAACCATTATCGAATGGAAATAGTTGAATTAGATCTATTTTATACGTCTAATGTGTACTGATTTTTAGTTTTCGTTAAGTCCGTTGTGGCGCTGCTGTTCAAGTTTCCATATAAAATTTGACAATGACATATCGTACTCACATTGAGCAGCTCGATGGCGCAAGTGGTTAGCGCGTTCCGCTGCGATCGTTGAATTAAAGCAACTTTCGCAGTGGTCGGCCATTGGATGGGTGACCGAAAATTTACTATCTCGAGCTCCTCCGTGCTTCGCAAGGCACTTTAAGGCGTCGGTCCCGGTTGCATCTGCAGTCGTTAGCACCCACCAATCCGCACTGGGCCCGCGTGGTAGGTCATGGCCCAATCTCCCTATTCCATCCATAGGGAAGGCCTGTGCCCCAGCAGTGGGGACATTAATAGGCTGATGATGATTGATTGATGATATCGTACTCGCAAACCATTTGAATACGATATGGGTTGTTTTTTTTTTTTTAAGCATTTAAATGCTAGATGTTTAAATCTAAAGAAAAGTTTACTAGAAAAAAATCCACGCGGACCAGGCAGCGGACGGTCCGCGTGGATTTTTTTCCAGTAAACTTTTCTTTAGATTTAAACATTTAGCAGTTAAATGCTTAAAAAAAAAACATAATTACAAGATGTTTAAAAAACCTTTAACGAAGTCGGAGGCCATGTATTTTCCAGATCATGACGATTATTTTTTGTTTCGGGACCATACCTGAGAAATTTATGGTTATGGAAATAATAATAATAATATAGCCTCTTTATTTCCATAATGTACAAGTTATAAATATCATAGAATTATTCATAAGTACATATATGCATGAAATAATAAAATATTACAACAATTAATACCATAAATTAGATAACAATTAGCAGTTTTAGGGTTATGGAAATATTGAAGGTCAAAGTCATTTTTTTTTAAGATTTATACATTAATGTTTTCGCATTTACATTTACACACACGCACACACATAAACACAGGCACATTCTTTGCGTGGCGCCACAGTAGCGCGCCGCGCTATACATTTCGTACTGGAAGAAAAAAGTATTTTTTTAACTTAAAATTACTTTTTTTTTCCCACGTATAATATTTTGTACTATTACTTGTTTGGGTGTACAGAATGCGTAGTTTTAGTCTTTGTCATACGTTTTTTTTACACCATGTATAGAGTATATTTAAAACAAAAATTAGCACGTGTCCTCTCCTTCCTATAATCTGGGGTCCTTTAAGAGAGGCGTGAAGAAGCATTTTTGCAGGCTGGCAAGGTGAGGATGGTTGGTGTAGCAGTTTATAACTGATTTACCATCTATCTTCGCGTTTGGACTTTATCACCACTTAACATCAGGTGGGGTAGAGTCATTTGCCTACCTCGTTATAAAAAAATGTTAGTTACATGCATATTCCCTATTGTTGGAAGTGTTACAACGATATATTTACGTATAGAACCAGAATTCTAATTCTAGATTCAGTAGAGAGTATTTAAGGTGCCCACAGTTATTCTACAAACCACTTTCGCGCGTCGCCTGCCAAAATTTATGTTGCCGTATATCTATAATAAGGCTTAGATTAAAACAAAAAGGGTAGATACGGCACTAGCCTCACAAAAGTGATCCGCACCAATTGTGGTCCACGACCCTAATCGCTTTAGTCACAACTTGACATGCAAACGACGTACATGTGAACGCCAAAAAGAAATATTGATAATATTTTGTGTTTATATGATAAAACGATGCCTAAGTATGTTTTTAAAAAGTGCTCAAATTGCTCAAAAACTAAAAATAAAACCCACTGCATCACTTTTCATTCGTAAGTTTGTTTTGAATCTTATTCGGTAGTGACGTCGAGGACTGGTCGCGTGATTTGTCGGTAATGCAGTGACGCGGATCTCGCCGTCTCGTTCGCGCTGCCGTTGAAACTTAACGTGCTGTTTCGTTCGGGTCGGTAGTGCAGTGACGCGGATCTCGCCGTCCCGTTCGCGTTGTCGTGGGATCAGTTTTTGTTTGATGCAAGTATGAGCGTACCGTATCTACCCTTTTTGTTTTAATCTAAGTAATAAGGTAACAAAACTGTGTAATATCAGAGAACTTAACGTGAAACAGGCAAAGCGCACTATCACCTCAAGGTTATTGTCCATGACTTACATGCAATCCGAAAACCTGTTTAAACGACTGGAATAGCATTACCCGAAGTCCTTGGCTCTCATCGTCCTACATGCATACAGACAAGCACACACACACACTTTATTTCTTTATTAGTTAGTTTCTGTATTCTGTAATTTTACTTATCATCTGTTGCAATATTTTTTTTTACATTCATTGGGTGCCCACGATACAGGACCTCCTAGTGTGGGACCCATGGTTACAAGCTGACTGTATGATGTAAATTTTAATAAATATATATGTAAAGAAAAGTTTACTAGAAAAAAAAACCACGCGGACCAGGCAGCGGACAGGACTCGAACCCGCATCCTTCGCAATTTGGGCGAATGCACTGACCATTATGCTACCACGGCCCTATTCGCCGCGTCGAAATTTTCCTAGCCTTAAGCTGCAAGGCAGCGCCATCTCTTCGCATTGTAGGTAACCCACAGTGTCAAACTAAAACTAGGAAAATTTCGACGCGGCAAATAGGGCAGTGGTAGCATAATGGTCAGTGCATTCGCCCGGATTGCGAAGGGTGCGGGTTCGAGTCCCGTCCGTTGCCTGGTCCGCGTGGATATTTTTCTAGTAAACTTTTCTTTAGATTTAAACATCTAGCAGTTAAATGCTTAAAAAATAAATAAAACATAAATATATTTGTATTTGTAGAACCGGCCCAAACTCCGCAGCCACCAGCTGGCGCTCCACTCGGGCTCGGCGCCGTACGGCTGCCCCTCGTGCCCCGCGCGCTTCACGTGGCGCTCCTGCCTCTCCCGGCATGCCAGGCGAGTGCACAACGCGCACAATGCGACTACATAACGATACGTACGGCTGCCCCTCGTGCCCCGCGCGCTTCACGTGGCGCTCCTGCCTCTCCCGGCATGCCAGGCGAGTGCACAACGCGCACAATGCGACTACATAACGATACGTACGGCTGCCCCTCGTGCCCCGCGCGCTTCACGTGGCGCTCCTGCCTCTCCCGGCATGCCAGGCGAGTGCACAACGCGCACAATGCGACTACATAACGATACGTACGGCTGCCCCTCGTGCCCCGCGCGCTTCACGTGGCGCTCCTGCCTCTCCCGGCATGCCAGGCGAGTGCACAACGCGCACAATGCGACTACATAACGATACGTACGGCTGCCCCTCGTGCCCCGCGCGCTTCACGTGGCGCTCCTGCCTCTCCCGGCATGCCAGGCGAGTGCACAACGCGCACAATGCGACTACATAACGATACGTACGGCTGCCCCTCGTGCCCCGCGCGCTTCACGTGGCGCTCCTGCCTCTCCCGGCATGCCAGGCGAGTGCACAACGCGCACAATGCGACTACATAACGATACGTACGGCTGCCCCTCGTGCCCCGCGCGCTTCACGTGGCGCTCCTGCCTCTCCCGGCATGCCAGGCGAGTGCACAACGCGCACAATGCGACTACATAACGATACGTACGGCTGCCCCTCGTGCCCCGCGCGCTTCACGTGGCGCTCCTGCCTCTCCCGGCATGCCAGGCGAGTGCACAACGCGCACAATGCGACTACATAACGATACGTACGGCTGCCCCTCGTGCCCCGCGCGCTTCACGTGGCGCTCCTGCCTCTCCCGGCATGCCAGGCGAGTGCACAACGCGCACAATGCGACTACATAACGATACGTACGGCTGCCCCTCGTGCCCCGCGCGCTTCACGTGGCGCTCCTGCCTCTCCCGGCATGCCAGGCGAGTGCACAACGCGCACAATGCGACTACATAACGATACGTACGGCTGCCCCTCGTGCCCCGCGCGCTTCACGTGGCGCTCCTGCCTCTCCCGGCATGCCAGGCGAGTGCACAACGCGCACAATGCGACTACATAACGATACGTACGGCTGCCCCTCGTGCCCCGCGCGCTTCACGTGGCGCTCCTGCCTCTCCCGGCATGCCAGGCGAGTGCACAACGCGCACAATGCGACTACATAACGATACGTACGGCTGCCCCTCGTGCCCCGCGCGCTTCACGTGGCGCTCCTGCCTCTCCCGGCATGCCAGGCGAGTGCACAACGCGCACAATGCGACTACATAACGATAAATCTATATATTTAATATATAAAATTCTCGTGTCGCGGTGTTTGTGGTTAAACTCCTCCGAAACGGCTCGACCGATTTTCGTGAAATTTTGTGTGCATATTGAGTAGGTCTGAGAATCGGACGACATCTATTTTTCATCCCCCTAAATGTTAAGGGTAATCCACCCCTAAATTTTTTTTTTCAATTTTAGATAATATTTTTTTTTTAATTTTTTATGATACAAAAATAAATAGAACCCAAAATTTTCACCCTTCTACCACCAACCCCTATTTTTTTATAGCGGTACAAAGTTCGCTGGGACAGCTAGTCTATATGTATATATAAAACTCAAAGGTGACTGACTGACATAGTGATCTATCAACACACAACCCAAACCACTGGACAGATCGGGCTGAAATTTGGCATACAGGTAGATGTTATGACGTAGGCATCCGCTAAGAAAGCATTTCGATCAATTCTACCCCCAAGGGGATAAAATAGGGAATGAAAGTTTGTATGAAACTTTGTCAATTTTGAACCGATCGGACTGAGACTTTGCATGCAGGTATAAGAAGAATCATAGATGTATATGATTGTGTATAATACAAGCCTGAGAACAAAAACTGTAGTCTACACTTCAGCTCTACACCGAAGCGAAGCGAGGGCGGGCCGCTAGTCTGTATATATAAAAATCAATTGCTGTTCGTTAGTCTCGCTAAAACTCGAGAACGGCTGAACGGATTTATCTTATCTTGGTCTTGAAATGTTCGTGGAGGTCTAGGGAAGGTTTAAAGGGTGAGAAAATATGAAAAAAATACTAGGAAGATGGTAAAATGTCAATTTTATTTCCCATATGAACGGTTCTATCTTCTTTCCTGTCAAACATTTGACGTTCGTCCCTTTTGGTACGGTAGACTCGAGTCCGTCATTTCTTCCAAATTATTTTAATCCGTCCGAAGTACGCGGGGTCAACTAGTCAGGAGATATAATATATACAGGGCGTCCCACGGCTACCTCACACGGAGGGAAAGTATATTAAATATTGAAGATAGGATGTTTTGCCGAAAGAAGACATCATTTAATTTATAATAAGTAGAACTGCATTCACTGGTTTTTTTTAATTCGCCTGCTACAACTGGGAATCTAACTCGTGAAATTTCGAAAAAAAAAACACGACATATTTTATGATAACCATCGAAAGGGTTAATCATAAGGATTATTTTTTGCATAGCATTTTATTTGAAAGGAAAGTCATTAAATTTTACATTTTATTTAAAATTATTTAACACAAAAAGTAATATAAAACTAGTTTTTACGGGTTAATGCACGAAACTTTATTTATTTATTACATTAAACTACTACATTAGATTTGATAGACCACAGATCCTTGCAGCTGAGCGGCGGTTCGTTCCTCGAATGATGCGCGAGGCTATTGAGATTAAAAAATATGCAAAATTCAATAGGGAAAATGGTTGGTATATACCACCAGCTTGGGAACCTATTATACAGGAGATAAAATCCCAACCTCGAGCACACACTGCAAGACCATCAGATACTATTAGTTCTTTTTGTTTGCATAATTTAACATAAGAAGGAGATAGAAAGCCCCTCTTGAGTTTGTTTCGCCGGTTCTTCTCAGAAAGGTCTCCCAATTTTGGAACCGGTGGTAGTTTACGGTAGTTAGGGTCAAATAAATAAACTCAAAATTACAAAAAAGAATTTTAAATAAAATACTTTATTAAGTAAATTAAACAATAAATTCATACATAGACAATAAAACTTTAAAAATCGAACAATGAAATAACCGAACGCTCAATAAAAGTCTTTCGAAGGTAGCTCGACAAATTAAATAAAAGTTTTATTCTGACGACGAAGCCTGTAAAGGCTACGAAACGTCAATAAATAAATAAAGTTTCGTGCATTAACCCGTAAAAACTAGTTTTATTTAATGAGTGATGTGCGTGAAAAGCTAAGAAACAAACTAATATAAAAACGAAACCTTGCAAGAAAAAAAAATTGATCAAATGTTCAAAATGTGATCCATTTTGTTGTATACAAATTCTCACTCTTTTAATATGTTCTCTGTCGGTCGATCTCATTATCTTTACGTTGTGAAAGTTTGTAATACGTCTGAGTTCATTTTGTGACTCCTGAACACTGTCGTACCGGTTATTGTATACTACATCAATCAATCAATCAATACTTTATTGCGTTCTACAATGTTTTCTTAGATCTTAGTAGGTACTAGCAAACCAGTGAACCAAATGTTCACCAAAACCTGATTTAAAAAAATAAAAAAATGTATTTAATTAATTGAGAACTTCGGAGATTTTGTGTGGTTTCGTTTGAAATTCGTGATTTCTCGAAAATCGGAAGTGCTACGTTACTCAAATCCGGTTTGTAGTCTTATCAGACTATTCTTAACTTATAACTTAAATATTCTCTTTATCTATCTCTTACGGCTTGGCCGCTGAAACAGCACCACAGACAGACAGACGGACGGACTTGTCTAATAGATAAGAGATATTGCTTTGATCATTGTAGATCCTGAACAGGGCACAGCAAATAGAGAAGAGGACATCTTTTACATAACCCCACCAAAACAAGTCCAGTGGGGTTAGATCTGGGAATCTCGCTGGCCATGTCATATGTATATGTACAATCTGCGTAATAATCGTATTTGGTCCAGACATTTTGAATCATTTGATAATTTTTTTTTTTTGCACCGTTTCGTTTTTATGTTATTTTGTGTAAATAATTTTACATAAAATGTTAAATTTAATGACTTTTCTTTCATTTAAAATGCTATGTTATTTAGCAAAAAATAATCCATATGATTAACCCTTTCGATTGTTATCATAAAATATGTCGTGTTTTTTTTTTCGAAATTTCAACAGTGAATCAATGTTGTAGTAGGCGATTTTAAAAAAAATCTGTGAATGCAGTGTTAGTTATTATTAAAAATAAAATGATGTCTTCTTTCGATAAAATATCCTATCTTCAATATTTAATATACTTTCCCCCCGTGTGAGGTAGCTGTGGGACGCCCTGTATATAGAAATGGCCCAAATCCTGTCTCTCCCGGCATGCCAGGCGCGTGCACAACGCTCACAATATGGCTACATAACAATAATGAATGACTACATAAAGAACTCGATGAACAAGGAGCTCGATGGCGCAGATGGTTAGCGCGTTAGGCTGCGATCGTTGAAGTTAAGCAACATTCGCAGCGGTCGGTCATTGGATGGGTGACCAAAAATCTTCTATCTCGAGTTCCTCCGAAAGGTACGTTAAGCAGTTGGTCCCGGCTGCATCTGCAGTCGTTAGCACCCGCCAATCCGCACTGGGCCCGCGTGGTGGGTCACGGCCCAATCTCCCTATTCCATCCATAGGGAAGGCCTGTGCCCCAGCAGTGGGGACATTAACAGGCTTATGATGATGGTGATATAGAACTGGCTCAAATCCTGTCTCTCTAGACATGCCAGCCGCGTGCACAATGCCCACAATACGGCATAATATACGTTCTTTCCGGTTGACTGGTAGAGAATGCCATGCTGGCATTAAGTCCGCCATATGCAATGTAAAGGCATTACAGATTAAATAAATAAAATAATAATGTTGGCGACGCCCTTTCTCGTTAATTGTTCACGCTTACAATACCGTATGAAATATATTTAGCGTAAGTCAAATAAGTATATTCACATATAGCTCAAATTGCTCTGGCACTTAATCCTATAATTCCTTGCGCTCGCTCAAAATATCCATCCAAAATCAAGATTGAATTTAAACGAATTTCGCCTTTGAGTGA